GGAATGCCTGTTTGAAGTCCTTCCTCGCAAATGGAGTCACGGGTCAGTACGCCTGATACAGAAGGCCTTGTGCACAGCACTCGACAATAGACTTGATAATCGCATAGAATTACATATTACGTCCCCGATGAAAGAAGCCGCTCAATCGTGCGTAAACGATCATGAGACTGTTGTTCACGAGCTACCCTGTAGGGAGGAACTGCAAAACGCAGATTGGTGAGATGAGCAATTAGACAGTCAAACTGGAAAAACTCTTTCGCAGACACCAGGAGGTGAATTGCTAACAAATGTCAAACGACGGTTTGAACCGATTTCTGTGACGACTCCTAATGTGCAAACCGAGTGAAAGCATTTTAAGAAAGTGCATTAGGAGGCTTTACCAAATGCTGCGGCTTGAAGCTGCTTGACCTTCCCCGTGGAGGTCAGAAACGATTTTGTTGCTAGACATGATAGCCTCTACTGACTGTCGCAGAAAACAGCCGCTTTCTGTAAATAGCTTGAAGGCATAGTGCGTACAAGTCGCATTGGGTGTAAAGATAAGCGCAGAGCCGCAATAAAATAATGAAAACCAAAGCTTATTCCTCGCAGAAGTTCGGATAAATGATGAAATCGAGTTTCTGGACGGCAAACAGAGAATTATTGCATTCCTTCTGCCTCCTAAGGGCAGAAAAGTGGGGCATTCTAAGAGTCCCGCAGGATTGTCTTGATGGCGTCTTTCGGATGATGAGCACGTTCTTCAGTCGTGAAGACAGTATTTTGAGAGGCTCTGTAGATCAAAGTGCCGCAAGAGCACTCGCTCGGCGAATGGGATGGAATGGACATAACTATTCGTGCACATGAAATCAAATGAAATCTGTATAGCTCTAAGGGCAGAATGGCCGCCGTTATCGGTGAAATCCGTAATGAAACGTTGAGAGGCATAGGCGAGCATTGCATGCTATGACCAACAGTTGTCTCTGAAACTGCAGTAGTTATGGTTACGAAACCGTCTAACTGGAAAACTAAGTATTAGCGATTGTGTTCAACAATGGATACCGTAGAATAGCTATAATTATCGATGTATTATTTCCATTAATCCCTGGGGTGTAGGCTCGCAAATAGGTTAGAATGAAGGTACCACAGAATAGCTGTCTCCAAAATACATGATAGCTGATGTGGCTGTAGCGCGCTTGAAGCACATTGGTCCAATTTTTCGCCCTACGCCAATTTTGAAAAATCGTTCCAGTTGGCATTTTCGCTTTAGATATACTTTGCGAAGGTGCAGAATGCCTCCGACTGAATCACGCGTAACATCACAGTGGTGCGAGTGTGAGCATATGGGATCCATGTTTAGTAACTTCGGGTCTTTCAATCGCGGGATCCTCATAGCAGGTGCTACATGAAAGTAAATGGCGTTGAGTCCAAGCTTTTAAGCATTGGCGCTGGTTTCGTAAAGGCTGCCTTCTGCCCCTCTCTTGGATATGCTTTGCATGCATAAAACAGCCATTCGCTGTCAGGAGGATGAATGCCTGAGCGTTGAAATTTCGCAACGATGAAGTTGCTCGCTGGGGACACCCTGCTCTGCTTTTATTTTCTGAATCTAAAGTACAAGATTCGGAATCTGATAATTAATCTACAGCGCTCTATGGATATGTTCAGGACTAGCGGAAGCGTGACCTGCATGTGTATAAACGTATCTAAACTGAAGCGCCCAATACTTTTCCTTTCGCTTGCAAATTACTGTCTTCACCTCAAGGGAGAAACAGTGGAACTGGTGGAGAAGTTCAATTAGTGGGGTGATGTTTTTTGTTGACACAACACGGAAGGAAAGAACTGAGTTTAGTTTAGGACAGCCATTGGGGCTGTGAGTGGATGAGCTCTAACCATTGCCTTCACTTCAAAAGTGACTTTGAAGACTATGATGTCTATATTCCGAGCTATCATCGTCTCTATACTCATGTACAGTCATGAGTAGTAAACCGTGACATTGAATAATTTGATTCAAAAATTGGGTGGCTGAAGTGGGCTTTCTAAGACGAGTCGATATTACCTCAAACTGTCCAAAATACTGAAATCGGAGAGAGTTTTGGTGTACAGCTGCTGCTTTTTCAGACTTAGAAGTTGCACTTGTAGTGGTTTAAGCAACCTGTATAGGATTCCTTGAGAGACAAAGGCGAAGCAGTTACTACTTGCTTAGCCCACCGGCAGCACTGTCACGGTACGGCGAAGTTAACTATTTTGAGTATTGAACGAACATTCTCTAGACTCCGATTACGCTCTGCCGTAAGTGAGGTACCGGAACAGGAAGCAGAATGAAAGAAGCACCTTCTGACGTGTCTGGATCTGCAATTGTCATCGTGAATTGGGGATGGAGAGTGAGATAAAATGATGATAATAGTGCTTTTAAAATTTGCCACGAAAATATCGTAATCCTTGTCATGCGCATTTACTTGATAGTGAAAATCTGTTAATTTTAGTGTAAAACGGTAGGCAGCTGATCTTGGCACCTTGGGAAGTGGTAGAATTGATTTTCGTGATTGCCGAACAATGTTATTGGCAAGTACCTGTGTTCGCCTTTGCGTCAGGAATTGTGCGAAGTTAACGCTGATACAAAAGGTCAAGAAAATTTTCCTCGGTGATCCGAATTACGTGCTTCTAGGTATGGAGGCTTCAAATCGTTCTTAATGGAAACATTGCCGCCATTTTGTGCACCGAACTGTGCATTTACTGGTGCTTTGTATTTTAAGTTGGTGGGATTGAAAATAAATAAATCTGGCTATCCTCAGGTTGGCGTGATTTGCAACCGGTTAGCCGTTGCCTCGGTCTCATTTGATGGAAGATGAATATTGACAATTTTTTAAGTCCGCGATGGTTCTACTTCGATTGTGGGTTTACCGCGTTTTTGCATTGGTATTAGTTGCCAAACAATCAACTTTTGATTTGTTATGTGATATGCTTTTCAAAAAGACTCGCTCATTTTTAGGGTCCTTTTTTCTTTTATTTCTTATAATATTTCGCCACTTCGTTATTCTTTGCAAAATTGTAACTTTGAAGTGACCTGATGTTTTGGCTTTTCTACCGAAATCTTTAGGTTGCTCGTTTATTTTCAGAGACGAGTGGAGATTAATTTTGGCACTGCTGAATAAAAGCTTATTGTTAGATGTCTTCGTGATTGTGCGTGGATTCGAGTGCAAGGAAAAGAATTAAGGGAAACTTTAAGCATATTTTTATTCTGTAGCTGATATTTTTTATCCTTTTTTATACCTTAAAATGAATTGCTTGTTTGATGCATGGATGAGGGGTTAGACAGTTATAGTAGTGTTAAGATTTGTGGTTGGTGCATTTTTTACCAACGGCGATTGTAAATTCGAAAGTTTTTTTTGCCTCTGTGTTCGCTGTTGGTTGACAACTATGGAAAACCGTGGAATTTAAAGTTCAGTTGTTAATTCGAGTGTAATTGCCATCGTGATTTAGGTTCTTTGAGTTAATCCTCACGCGCACTAAACAGGCAAAACTTTCAGAACTTACAAACGAATGATTTTTTTAGTTTCCATGAATGTTAAATTTCTAGTCGTCTGTCGTTCCGCCGGTCCCCGAAAATAAGGCAACGTTCATCGTACATTCTTGTGTTGCTGCTCTTTGCATCTGGAACCATAAAATCAGGGGGCCGAAAAGCGAAACTTTCAGGTCTTTATGAATGAGAAATTGGAGATCCTCTAGCGTAGGGTTATCTCTTCAACGGAATGCGGTTGTGTACTTGCGTGACATTTTAAAATGATTCGTTGTTTCTTCTGTTATCCGTTATCTGACTTCTGGTTATTTGTGTTTTATGAACCGAAGTCCACGCTCCTTCAGCATTGTCTATTTCAGTCTCCATTGGTGACCAATTAGTTTGACCATCGAATCATTCCGGCATGTTTTAAGAGGATCGACTCGACGTGGTTGTCCAGCAGAACCGAAGTCGTCTAATTTTTGCTTTTTATACCGTGTCCCTTTTGAAGACTTTTTTCTTCATCGCTCTCTTCATGACCATCGGTTTTTTCTGTTCAGCTTTTGTCGCAGACCAACATTCATTGCCGTAGATCATAGTGGATATCACGATCGAATCAGAGAGTTCTTTTCTCACCCGTATCAGCAGCTCATTGTAGAAATTGGGCTGCATTTCCTTCCAACATCTGTATCTTGTTTTGAATTTTCGTCTTTCTTTCAGCCCCAGTTCATCCGCTGGAAAGAAGCGCTGGCCAGGTGCGGGAGTACATTGTTTCGCTGATGCGTGGAGATCGAGTAATTAATTTCAGTTGCGGTTCTGTTTTTACTTTAAAGTGTCTTTTCTTAACACTAGAAATTCGAGCCGCATTGCTATACGTGGTCCAGAGCGACAAGTCCTGACAAGCCGAACGTAGTGCCGAGTTCTTCTGACAATCGGATAATTGGTTGTTTGTGTAAGAAGGCGGTTTTTCGTGTTTATTTATTTGTTTGTTTTTTTTTGTTATTCGATTTTTCGATTTTCAGGTAATCCTGAACAAATGTATATCAATTATATGTGGGTCAGAAAAGGGCAGATGAAACGATGCGGATGCGGATATTGGTTTAAACTAGTTGATGAACCGAAAGTAGAAGGCCCTCGTGTTTGATACATTACTCGTTCTCTTCCACAGGCTTTTTGAATGCATCTGTTTTTTCGAAATGAACATTCGTGCTTCATGCCATTATTTGTGCATAAGCACATGTGCTTCATGCTTATGACGTGTAGAAGCTTTTTTGAATTCTGATTGCGCAGTAAATTCAAAGTACGTCATTTAAAACCAACAGGGTTTGTGGCTACACTTGGTGGGGAGACAGCTCATCATATAAAGTTGTATTTTTCCTATACCTGCCTTATCTTGTGTGCCGTAGTTCTGTGTTCTAGAGAACAGAAGCAAAAACCAACAGCCCAGTTGTTTCTGCGAACTACTGAAAACCACCACTGCGTGGCAGAATACCTGGTAAAAATTGCTTCTGATGGTTTCTGACAGGCCTTTAATTTCAGCACTTCTCCAATGTCGTCAGCGTCCCACATTTTACCCATTGCTACTTTAATTTGATATTTAGACTTTTATGTCATGGTCTTCTGATTTCTTTTGCCCGACATCCTTCCATGTTGCGTTACGTAGTCTGCAATTTATGAAAAAATTTCGCTTAGTATCCATATGTTAGAAGGGGAACATAGTGATCGAAATTGCTATATCAATCGCAGTATCATTTACCCGAATATTTTCAGTATATAAAGTGTTGTGTGCAATTTTGCTCTTTTGTTGATACTCGATGGATGATGTCGAGACATTAAGGTAAATTAACTTCACGTTTTCTTTTCGTCACTGGTTAGACTTAAGACCCTGAAGACTCAATTGACAACATCGGAATGTGCGGTAATATCAAACAAAGAAGAGAATTTTGTGAAGAACAGAATTTCACGCGGAGAACAGCTCTTTGGCAAGATACTATCAAACCCAGTAGGTCAGACAGTAGTAAAAGCTTCGTCTTCTTTTCTCGAATCATTCAAAGAACTCGCCCCAATCATCGCAAGAGCTTTTCAATTTGGAGAATCAACGGCTGTACATCAAGTTTTTTCGGATATCTGAACATCGAACCATTTCGAGATGCATGACATCGCCATTCGTCTCAACGGCTTGTATCGGACATCGAAGATTTTCATTCATGGTGCTTAATGAATGAGCATGCGGATGTAGATCAGGTTGAACGTAAATGACGTATCACAGACTCAGGTCTACATTAGTTACAATCAGAGCAATTCAATCAGACTTCGCTGGTCATTCGAATTTGCCAGTCGATCACCTCCCATTTTTTGTCACTGGTGAACACGAGCTCAAGTGACCTGAATTTCTCTATCTATTCCACTTCTTTTTCGTTTATATACAGAACACAACGAGCGCGAAAACACTGGCATCGTGGTTTTAGACAAGTTCACACGCATGCCAATCATCTCGCACTCGCCTGCACATCTTTTAATCGAGTGCTGGTTATCAGTTTCGGAAGGTACCAACAAAACGAGGTCATTTACAAACAGCAACCTTCTAGCCTCTATATCTCCTACACTAATGCACTCTTCGGCTTGGCTACGCCGGACTACTTCCATACACAGCACAGACGGTAGAAAGGACAGAATGCAGCCTTGAGGGTAGATAGTGCCAAATATGAAAGCCTTAACTTGCCTCTGGTGTAGCATTTGCTATCAGCATGTAACGACTGTGCGGTTCGTAGCAGATAGCCACAATGCTATTTGATGTTTGCAGCGACGCTCACACCGTTTGTGGTAGATCCAGTAATGGGCTTTCTTTAAATCAACGGAGCACACGTAAATCAGGTGAGCAAACCCTCACCATTTCCTAACGATCTAACGTGAGGTGAACATGTGGTTAAAAGAGCTTCAGCCTGACCTAAAACTACACTGCATTTGTTGGATCCTAGAGTTAGCTATTGCACCTGCTCGTACTGCTTCTTTAATCAACTGCTACATTTCTAAATACCCGGTTTTCAATGCTAACAGTTTTGATGTGACACAAAATTCACATTTTTCATAAAATGCATGAATTTGAACCAGTGGCGAATTTTAGCACTTAGCTGAATGGGGTTGAAAACTTACCTAAACCGTGTTCCCTCCATGTACATGGTTATTATGTGTCCCCTTTGTCAAGTAAATGTTTATCTTTCATCTTGTCTTTAGAGACTGTTTATCTCAGATACGTTTGTCTCCGTAACCTGGAAGAACAAATTGTCATCAAAATTGACTGAATCAGTTCGTATCTTTGGTTGTTTCTTAAGGTTCATATATATTTATGATGGCTCCTTTAGAAAAAGCACTGTTTTGTATGGCTGTTTGGTGTCGCTCTCAGCTTCATTTTAAATTCTGAGGAGTCCTGTATACGTGATACAAGGAAACGTTTATCAAGAGTGTGGTGATCACCATAATGGCCACGATGACATACGTCTCCCGCCGTCACCCAACCGGTCACTGATCTGTACGTGATTTCCTGGTCCATTTTCATAAGCGTGTTTGTTGATCACCACGTGTCACATTATTGAGGAATGGCATCATTATAGAAGAAAACGCAAGCTATCAAATACGTTCTGTATACCCTCTAAAGATAGGAAGAAATCGCTATGACATTTATGTCAGTTATGCCTGTTAAGTTTGCCATTTACGTTTGTCTCATTGAATGCAGGAAACAAATACCGTTGAAGGGATATCGTCGTTCATTCAGAGGAATGACCACGTCAGCGCGTAAATGTTGGCAGGCTACGTGGCTAGACTATCACGGCGGCTGTTAACATATTTATTTCCGGTATAATTCATCAAATCTTCCATTATGCCTGCGTACTAGTCGCCATCTAGCATTCACACATGTATTATACATATCGAAAAGGATTTCAAAGTGCTTTCTGGAAGCTTGCTCTGTGGGAGCAAATAGGCACACGTTGAGCCAATCCAAATTCTCGTCAACATTCACTTTCATTTCCACCCTCCGGAAAGATCAAACGCTTAATTTATACCTCACATTAAAAACGTTCAAATTTATAATGACCATATTTAAGTTAAGCTGTAAAGACAAAATATTTATTGCAGCATCTACTGTTCTTGTTCCTTAGCGAAGAATAAAACTAGGAAGTACGGCAACAATTCATTGTCGCTTCATTAAATATGCTCCCTTGTAAACAATCTCTGT